TCTGGGTGCTAGAGATATCGCTTCAAAGCGAATAATCATATGTTGAGGCACACACTCGATCTACCAGTTAGGGGACGACCTTTTCTTAATCGGTCTCATATGCATGGAATATAGCTATGTACCTTCAAGAACTCGCATGTGGACGGAGTACAATGGCATAAGTGTCGCCGAGATACAAGTTGTATACCTGCCCGCACTCTGTTCCGTTGGGCCACCAGATAACGAAGATCAGTCATGCGTGTCAGCGTTACTCAGAGTTTGGTATTTAGACTCGCGGAAGCTTGCTCCGGTACCAGTCTACAATTAATCACCCTATCAGAAGAAGTCGCAACAGTCCCAGGAGGTGTGGTTATTTACACGAAGCTGACTCTAGCTAGAAGATGAAACACGTACCTGCTTTCTGATTTCCGAATTTTTTTGAAACGTGGGTAAGGGAAGGTTGTGATCGGTGGCTAGAAACACTTCGCCTCCACCCTATGTTCGAGGACTGAAACCTATCGTGATAGAGGGCGTTGTACCATTGTAAACAGATCGGCCCATAGGTTAGTGATTACGCATTTTGGGTGCGCTGTTGACTGATCAAATTCGTCCTGCGCTGTGGTATCCCTGTCAAGGCTGGCACAGCGCGGCGACGTCAAGTGCCATGCAACGGGTGCTGCCCCACTGGATCCATGCTGATCAACGATAAAGGCATCTATCTCGCAACCGACGCCCGCCCTACCCCTGCAGGTCGATGCCTCCTGCCTCGTGTCATCCTCTCACCGACAACCTCCCATCGTTTCTACCATTGCTTGGAGTCGACGACAGGGGCGTGAGGGTACCGGCCCTCATCGCAGACATCCCTCTATCCCCCATTGGGAGGCGCGGGATGGGCTTTAGGTGGGCCTGGTCCTGCGGATCCGGTCTTTAGTACGTTGCAACGGATTTCAAAAGTAAAGGTGCTCGTTGATTGTGTATTTTATGTCATATGGCGCTATGTGCGAATTAGACATTCTAACACCCATGTATGGGGCGCTGGTAACATCGTTGTCGGGCAACGATGAAACTGTGGCCTTCGATCTTGCATACTGCGCTTGATGACCGGAGCACGCTAGCGCATTCCTCAGCTGCATGTCAACACGAACACCAGTGAGCGGAAGTACAACGCTCTGTTACAGCTATCAACTTGAAGAGGGATGGAAAGATAATAAACATGTATCATCCATGACATTGACGCACTCAGACCATTCAGAGTCACGTCGATGTGCAGTCAAAATTCTTGTGCAACAATACATTGCGGCTTTTATGATGGACTTGAGATGGAAGGGCGCATTCCGGCTTCTCCAATGCTGGTGATGAAGACCGATTCCAGCTGCCACAACCCAAAAGGTGGTGTCCGGTACGCCGTCTTGTTGCTTCATATCGTTCTCACATGGGCAGTGCGGCTATCACAGCGGAGCGCACGGCAGGGGGCCGTATGTAGAATGCTCTGGCTGGTATAGTTTGGGCTTGTGCGATCCTGCTTTGTGTCTGGCCCCAGAACCGAACCGAACCACCGAGTGGCGTCGGGTTCAATTGAGAATCTTCGGTGGCAGTGCAAGAATTAGCTGTTTTCGTCAACTGTTCCAGCTCAGCTCCACTGGTCTCTGCTCTTCCAATACTGAGCGGAATATTTGTGGAAAAACATTGGTGTGACTGAGGGGAGGCATTGTGGAACCTCGGTGATATGAAGTTGCATGCTTGCCTGGGCTCGTCGTTTGTGTCAGCAACATGTAACCACCTACCGCCAATTCCTGAGTTCTCGATTGGTGCGTCATGTAGTTTGTCAACCCGAGAATTCCGTTTCATCTTGTCAACTTTTAGCCATGTGGATCTTTTGGCGTCGTTAGGCGTCTTGCTTTTGTTGCATCAGAGTCCTTCAGTCCCCCACAGCCGGGGTTCCCACAGACAAAACTTCATCATCTTCCCCTTTTATCAACCCTAACAGCTCCAAACGGGTCGGATGTGTCACGCGCGGAGATCGAGCGCACAATCAGCGCCCAGATTCGAATGGCACTCCAATCTGGCCGTACTGCTGAGGCTCTCGACGTGTACAACCAATTTTGTACAGTCCAATCCCCAACCCATAGTCTTCCTCCGCCTCGAAAGCTCTATAATCCCGGTTACACTAGTTTCAGATCTCCCTACCCTCGTCTTGCGACCGCCACGCTCATTCACGGGCTGATCCGCTTGCAATGGACGCACCATCTTTTCAAAGTTGTTTCTGCCGTCGTTGAAAGAAAGCCAAGGATCTCTTTTTGGAGCGGGGAATCCACTTTTGGCACCGTAACACTGGATACGATTAAGACAAAGACGCTGGAGGCCACTATCAATGCACTCTGTCGTCCCTGTAGAGACATGTCGACAACGGAGAATTTGAGCATAGCCAGCGAAATGGAACGCTTGGGTCAAGCCTTGCACAGAGAATCTCGGTCGGGATTAACTTCATCCGATCCGAACGTCGAACTTCCCAACGTGTCCTTCTCGGAATCCAAAAAGCATACATACCGGTCCACACGGCTGAATGAGGGCACCCAGCGTGCTATTACTCTCTTGCACAAGTTCCGTTATTACCGATGGCGCCGATCAAGGTTCATGTATGATCGTGTATTCAATGCCTGCCTGCTGCAAGGCGAGATTCTCACTGCCACTCTGCTTTTTGCGGTGTTGGTAAAAGATTATCAAGTTCGTTCTGTGTTGCGCACTGCTGGTGCTAAAGTGGAGGCGTATGCGCCTGATGACACAGATGCTCAGAATCTGGCACCCCATACGCCCAATTCCCCTGATCCAAGCAAGGACACGGGAGTGAAGTCCGGCTGGGACTGGAGCGAAGAAGGCCTTTGTCGCATTAGCCAGGATGGTCGTTCTCGAATCGTGTCCGGCCAGGCGCTCAAACATATCGCAGGAATACCAATGCAGGACGTTGTCAATCACGGACTCCATTATTCTGAACTCCCAGTACCTTTCCCTACGTCAAAGATGTTGGGAAGAATTGTTTCCGCTCTCAGCCTTCCGGATCTTCGAGATTCGAGAAAATCATTCGATCCCGGGGGTGGCGTTAGTGTGCTAGACTCCCAAGCCGCCCTAGGTATCTTGGCTCTGTTGCTTGAGGAAAGAGCATTGCCATGTGGCCACCTGGCCCCTCTCCTTGGGGTCTTGCAGCATGTCTCCGGTAGAGCGTGTGGAAATGGGCCTTTCAGGATAACCACAATACAATCAGATCATGAAGATGAGGTCACCTTCAACTTCTCACGATATCATAGAGCTTATCGCGTCGAACTTGGGCTGCGGAAGGGAAGGCGAAAGGCCGATGTATCTGGGATGGAGAACATTCTCGATAATTTGATCCTCTGGCCTCCTAGGTTCGATCCTGTTGCGCATACCTCGGGCAGCTTCTCGCTTTCCCGCTGGACCCCAAGCCCCTCTGATCCCTCCATGCTTCAGCCGTTGGATGAATATTCCCTGAATACTCTTTTAAATTACGCGTTGCGATATCGTTCAACACCCGATCCCTCCTTAGCTATCAAGGTCATTGGCCAAATGCGCAGAAGAGGATACAAGCTAGGACATGTGACGACCGCCATTCTAATAAGGGGCTTAGCCAAGCTACGACCCAGTGCGGAGCTTGAAGCCCTGCTCAGTTTCGTGCACTCGATGGGAAGATGTGTCGACGATGTAAAGACCACGGAGTCCCACACTCATTCTTCAATAGATTCCTCAATCAACATGGGAGTCCCAGGAGATGATGTTTCCAAACCTGGATCTCGTGAACGTTTAAATTCGAACCTGGAGATCTGTGCTCCTCTGCCAGACCCAACGAATTTCTTTGACACTTCTACCCTAATTTCAAGTATTGACACCTACATCACGAAACGCAATGTCCTGCTGTCAATTATCCACCACCAATCCTCTTCGAATGCTCCCCGCTCGTTTGCGCTTGCTATTCTGCGACGAGTTCGAGATGTCCTCAACCGTCCCGCTCAAACACCAGCAGATCAGACCTTTTTGAAAATGCTTACATCTGGTCCAGAGCTCTATTTGGCGCTACTCAATCTTCTCGTCAAAGTTGGTCGCCCAAGAGACGCAAAGTGGCTGTTCTCCCAAGCCCTCTCAGCGCAGAAGCGATCATGGGAGGAGCGTAGAACGCAATTTTCTGCTCTAATGAAAGGGGAATGTAACTCCTCTACAACTCTTATTTCGTGGGAACCGTGGTGTCTCCCAGTACATGCCTACACCATCATGCTTCAGTGCTACGCCGCTGAAAGTCGTCGCGGCATTTACTCCGTTTCCTGCGATAGCTCCCCATTTCTCTATGAGCTCCGGTTGAGGGTTGCACGGACATGCCTGAGAGATGGAATGCGGCTGTACCAATTAATGCTCGAGAACAGTGCAAAGATCCTGGAGGTTGATGAACATGTGAAGACTTGGCTGATGACGCAGAAGTCGATGTCTCCTGCCTCTCCACGGAATATACCACGCTTCAAATTGGGTGGGTCCGTCCCAGTCCCTGATGAACACTTTTTCCGAGCCGCCATAGCTTTATTCGCCCCTCGCGGAGACCTTTGGCACATGCGGGAAATGCAACGAAGCGTGCGACGACGAAATAGGCGTTTGTTATTGGGGAAGAGAGTCGATTCCAGGCCTGTAGGGATAGACGCACTGCCCGGTGTACTGAGAGCCCACCACAAGAAACAGCTACAAGCTCTGGCGACGGTGGCACAAGACATGGAAACGCATGGTCTGTCTGTTCCTTCTAAATTATCCATTTTCCTGGCGACTGGTCTTTAGTTGTTTTTAAATGGAAGTTGATTGATACAGCGCTTTACATTATGTATATATGCACATTATTAATTCCTTGATTACGCCGAAGTGAGTAGGGTATAATTCTAATAGCCGTGGTATCGATACAGTTCTGAGTTTGAGCGGTGCGCCACATCCCGTTTTTATGGGATGCATGAGCCGCGTTTTATCAATTATAAGGCTTAGGAAATTACTTCGACATCGGGAGGAGTTCCTCCCTCAAAGAGTACTAATGCTTTGAGGTAATGAGCAATATCGTCGTCCAGCGGAGCAAGAGGTGTTGATGGAGTATGAGCGGAATGTTCCGACGCCGTCTCTCCATCCGACAGGACCACTGAAGCATTTGATAAGTAATACACTTCCGGGTAAATTAATCACATACTCACTTTGAGGAGTTTCTAGAATCACCGGCTCCATTTCTTCGGTCTCTTCTTCCGGGAAGGTCACCTGGTCTTCTTGGGATTCATGGGCGTCATCATCGGGAACTCCCCCTTCGTCGCACTGATCTTGGTGACTGGAACCCACAGGGTGGGCAATAATTGGGCTATTCTCCTGAACCCAGGCCGATGCAAGATCTTCTCCCCATTCAGAATCGTGCTCGGCCAGCTGTTTTGCCATCCACAGAGCAAATGAAAGGCTAGTCCCATGTCGCTTCTAGGAGTATGACGCGTCACAAACGTGCACTTCGCTAGTCCTGCGGCTGACGACTTACTCCCCACTTGTTTCCGAACTCCCATTTCTGGACAAGTGCGTCTAACGTGTGAAGAAAATCAATAAACGGCTGTTCTTTCCCAAAAGCGATATCCGCGGCGGTGATGCTGTTCAGATATTCGTCCGAGCAATCTGTTTCTGCAGAATTCGGAGCCTAGGCACAGTCATCAATTCATAGAGAAACTTTCGCCTGGGTTTAGATTTACTCACCCCCTCATCGCCATTCTCGAACTTTCCATGTTCTAAACGCAACGTATACATCGAGCCACCTGGCTCGGCAAGCTGTAAAAGAGCATAGCCTCGGCCGGAACCCAGTGCCTCCCTGACAGTGAACCGCTCCACCTGAGCGTGACTAAGATCGAGTTGGGTCTCTGGATATGGGGAGAACAAGGGTTTGGAGAGAGATATAAAACGTAAATTAGGAGGGACTCTTGCAGGAGATGCTGTGTTCCCCGAGGGATGCAAGTTCCCGACCTCGCATGAGGAGCTGGTGGGAAAGTTATGGAGCCTTTTCAACGCGGGGAGGATTGATGGGACAGGGCCAAAAAGGATCACACTTGGATCAAATCGTGGAGGGGGATTGTAAGCGCCATCAAACAGTAGTGCCAGTCTTGGGGCTGGCACCTGCGACGAGTCACTAGAATGGGAGTGGAATGATATGGGGGAGGTTGCACCAAGAGCGCGAGGAATTGAGTGCGCCGATGGTGAGGCGTTGGGAGCACTGCGTGTGCTGCTCGCCCTTGAGCGTGTGCGTTTTCGGACCTTCGACCACCAGCTTGATAGAATCGAGCCACCACTGGCGGCACGCCTCCTAGATCCTAATGAAGCACTGTCAAACCGTATGGAGTTTATTTGGGATGAGGGAAGGGAATGATCCATAGTGGAGGAAGCAAGGGTGTGATGAGTCGGCGACTGACACCGAGAGAGATATGAATTATTACCGTTGAGACATACGCTCCCTTTCGAGCCATGAAGCCTATATACGGTTGCACACTACCATGAGGCAAGACTGCAGCACCGAGAGATTCTGAGGAAAGCCCAGCTACAAAGGACACAACTCGCGCGCAGCCATACTAAACGTTCGGCGCCCTAATACTCCCAAAACGATCCAACACGCGGTAGACATGAGGCAAAACACACAAAATGTTTTTCATATGGCCGAAGTGAATCAAACCTCGCCATCAGTCGGCGCGCGGCAAAAGTATCGGATCTCGCCTTCCACGTGTCCACCCGCAGGCGAACCAGAGTTCGCACCTGTATCCAATATTATACTTCCATTAGCGTAAGCCAAAAAGCACAGTGGTTTCTAGATGTCACGCCATGGTTCCTTCGACTCTTCGGAGACACGCCTCACGGACATCATGGCTTCTTCCCTGGAGGTGGCCTGAAATACATTGTTGACAACTGCGAGCCGATGGACCTTGCGCCAACATCTTCCCTCCCAAAAAGCTTCAACATTTCCGCAATCACATCCATCTTTTCCATCTTCTCCCCTGGAGAAGGTATCGGCATCCCCTTTTTCCTGCCTATCACCAGTTCCACTGTGACATTTCGGTCCAGTTCTTTCTTAACTTTGTCTAACTTCCGCTCGAGATCTTCTCGCTCGATGCTCCACGTAATCTGAATCTCTTTTGGTGGGTACGTGCGTTTGGGTTTAACGGCAGCTTTATCTTGTTTATGAAGTTCTTTGAGCTTTCCCTTACTAATGACACGGACAATGGGTTCGGGTTCGGAGAGGATGAGCTCAACGCGTTCATCGACTTTGTTGATGTTTGATAAGACGGTGGATAGGGGCGTAAGTGGTCCGACTTCTCGTGTGGATTCATCTCGGATGCGGACATATTGGTGTGGAATTTTTTTATCAAGGATTCGTTTCCGAACTTGTATGGATCTATGCCGTGACTGGAAGATGAATGTTTTGATCTGGATGGAAGGAAGACCAAGTGTGAAGTGGGGGTGATGGGTTGTCCCAGGCAGCAAATATCTTGCCAGTTGTGAAGCTGAAAGGGACGCTGAGATCATCTTAAGGATTCGCCAAGTCCCGACAGCTCTAGTTCCACGAGTTGACTTCGACGGTGAGACCCCGTTGTCCCAACGTCGTCAAGAAATTTTCAAGCGTGCCGTGAGAGAGATTTTCCCACGGTTTGCTGTTTGATTACCTCCGTCAGTGCCAGACGAAGGTCGAGGAGAATTGGATAGACAAAACAGCGATCTGTACAACAGTTATACAGCAGAAGTACAAGTCACGAAACAAAGTGGCCTCTCCTGAAGTAGAGTGGCTCACGAAGTTAAATATACACAACGCCAGGACTTCACCCATATACCCTCACAATAAATGGATACGCTAGAACGGCATCCACCCTTCATTCCCCTGCGGTCTTACCAAAAGCGTCCGGACCTTTCCCATCAACCACGCCTTCTCCCTTTCGTCAATAGGGCCCTCAATACATAAACTATCCAAAGCATTCCTCGATTGCGTACTGACCACCCGATCACCCAGCCAGCCTGCTGCTTCCAGATGCCCAGATGAGTTACCGAGTGGCGAGCAACTGAGCCGATACCTCCGCCTGGTTCCGTTCAGCCATTGATCTTCGCCCGATCTCGCCCTCAGCAGCGCTGTCAGTTCGCGACCTATCATCTCATAAGAGCTCGCTCCAAGCCTTCTCGGTCGGCTAAGTGTGCTAATATGCATATCAAGGCCTATCTCGAGGGAATTCAGATTGGGGAGGAGAAAAGGTGCCTGCGAGATGCCTTCGACGGAGCCAAACGGTGATATCGCCCTGGCAAGGGACGTGAGCACATCATGAGTGAATTGGAAATCACTCAGGACGGATAATTGCTCAATTTTGGGGGCTTGGGTGAACTACCATAGAAGGATGACGTCAGTTTCCACCAAACTCATGGCCTTGAACTCTTTTCTGCTCACAAATGATTCCATGAGCTGAATAGATATATCATACCGCCTCGAGAAATGTTCCACCTTTGGTAAGTAGACGCTCAGCTTCGTCAAATCCGGCGCAGAGATGTCTTCGAACAGTCTATCCAAAATGTACGCCTCGGTGTTCATAATAATCAAGTTCCGGAGTGTCTTCGGCATAACGACCGTCTTGTCCTTTGATGAAGGACTGTAGCGCCACACCGATATACACAACCGTTCGAGTCGAGTGCACGACCAGCAAACCGCCTTCAACTGCTGATAGTCCAATCTTGAAACGGTAAGATTCACTAGCTGTTTCCCAAGAGAAGCGTAGTTAAACTCGATATGGAACTGACCCATGAGGCGTAATGTATGGAGATGTGGGAGTTTATGCCCGAAACAGGTGCTTCCTATGCCCCAGTCACCTCCATTAGGAGCTAGATTCAGCATTTCTAACCCGTGCAGCCGATCATCAAATAATGGGGAATGGAATAATTTAGGAGTGTCGTGGCCCATAGCAAGGAACTCGTAATGGAGGGACCTCCACTTCGAGGTGGTGTTAGCGGGAGTAATGCTCTTTTGGTCGTCAAGTGAATGCATAACAACGTCCAGCCGACGCTGGGAGCCCGCGCGCGATCTCCATAATGAAATGAGGCTATCCGACCAAGAAAGATCCAACAATGACCAGAGACTGCTATGTCCAATCGCAATCTCTCGCCAGCGCGTTGAAACCTGTGAGAGGGCCATCACAGTTGAGCGAACCGCCTTAGAATCATCGACGGCTGTGATGCAATTGCTAAATATTTGCCGCATGATCTCTACAGGGATGAGATTGACAGGAGTTAAGGAAGACTTGACCTGCGCAATGCGTAGCCGGATGCAGGATTGTGACACCCGCAATAAATCCTGGACCTTCGCGAGATCGATGGATACCTGCTCGAGGGACTCCAGGCGCCCGATTGTCTCTGGGCTCACCCTAAGTAGACGCTGGGAGGAGAGGTCGCTGGGGTGAAGCAAATGAACGTCATCATTCTCGAGGAATTGACGCAACGCTGTGGCTTCCCGAAAGAGCCTGTTGAAAGTCGGGACGTATTCTGAGACCATCCCCTTTGATGACAACTATGAACTTCAAGATGGAGTAGGGTGCGCGAGAGGGACAACGGTGCCCCGGAGGATCCGTCGCTCATTACAGATTCCAAGCTGAATTACCGCTATTCGGCGGTCGTGGCTGTTCCACGCATAAACGGTTCGTGCCGGTCATGCTTCCTCTTCATCCTCGTGTGACCCACCTCAAGGCTGTACGTGCGGCTTATGGGCCAAATGTTCCCGATACAGTTAGTTCGCAATGCAGCATCCCCGCAGATGACTGAAGCCATTGCATGCAATGCGCTCCACTTGCCCACGCACCTGCCACGTCTATACTAATAGAGGCTGGTGACCTGCCTACCTGCCACGGGCGGTTGATACCTTGCTTGCTAGGATTCGAGTGCTGAATAGATATATATGCATATGTATGGCAGCACGGACGCTACTCCCTTGAATGCTCAATACGTTCTGCATTAGTTCCAAAGGGGAGAATTTCGTCTGGGATGGCAATCCGCAAAGCGTACACCTATTGTAAGGCCATGTGCGTTTGTTGGTATTGATATTCTCAAGTCGTGTCAGACGATAATTGTTATATTAACCGATTGGTATATTTGTCCGCCGCTATATTTGTGAACACAGTTACGCTGGTCTTATGTTCGTATCGCCCACTGCGCTCCCAGGTCCAGTCTACCTGCGCATATTGTGCTGCATCTTCGATACAATAGGGTACTGCCCTCAAGGAACCTTACAATCATGCCCTTGCTTCATGCGCACACCTAAGCTTCAACCCCACTGCTACATAGGGTATGTTCACCTGGTATCACGATGCCCTGCCGATTCCTTGTTGTTTGCTTGGTGGGAACACTCATCACAGCTCTCGATAGCAGCTGATCACAACACCTTGGGCTTCACTTGCGGATGGGATTAGCCTTTCGGTGCCACGTTCCATGTGGTCAATTATTTTGCCACCATCAGAACAAGAATTCGTTAGTAAACTGCAAATATACGGGCATTCGTAGAATTGATGCAAATTACACGCTTTAAGCACCATTTCGCTCTTGGTATGTACTCATCTAGCGCCACCTGTGTCTCATCGGCATTCGTGTAGGTGACTAGCATTGAGAATGACGGAGATGACTCTAACCCGGCAGAACCATGATTCTCCCACTGGTACGCGCTTCCTCATTGGACGAAGACAGTTCCTGGTTCAGTAATTGTTAGTCCGTCTCGGGGACGGTGTTACAGCGTTGGTTATCCCGATACTGCAGCACGCTAGAGTCAATTTTCGCAGTATGGCCGAAATTCAACCTGTGGTGGCTGACTTAGAATGTCATGGCCGAGAGTACTCGTTAGGTGGTGGAGCAGCGAGACTTTGGCCCATCGGAATGGCGGTGCCTGGGGAAATGTCACCGATAATGAATTAGTCTGGAAAAGACGAGGACGCTCCGCAATTCCATCTTTCATGTTTTTGCTGAGGGTTCGCGGATTATTCAAGTTTGCCAATGGATCTCCAACAACAGCTGGTGGGTGACTACTGACTTATCGCCAGAATTATCTGTTGGACATCCCTTAATCTCGTGCGAGCGTTGGAAGCTTTGAGAACTTCGCCATTGAAACCGATGCTGAGTATGACCAGTGGCGATACGGCGCGTTGGCCCAAAGGGAATGGGTGGTACGAAAGTCGTTTCAGACATCTTGAAGACAAGATATGTGGAAGATGGGGCTGGGAGTTGGCACGGACAGGCCGGGTCGTTTGCACGATACATTAGTGTACGCAGCTAGCTGTGAGAACGAGCGGTAGCGCGCGTTTTCAACCAGACCATGGAAGCGATCCGAAGCCAATGAGCTACGATAACACGAATATCTGATCACCAGTGCAATGCGTTCTGTTGGAAAGCGTAGGTGTCAACCGGTATTCTGCCGTGCCGTGCAGCGTGCAGCAGGGTGTTGCGTCAGGTGTTGTTGTATGGGGAATTGAAAACCATCGGAGACGGCACGATTTATACGATGTCAAGAGGCATCACAGGCTACTTATCACGTTGGCCTCCATGAAAATATCGGTATGTGTTTGATAATATAACGGAGCATCTGCATGCCTACCGCCCTTGTCCATATAAGTTACAGATGGGATTAACCTAGTCAACCGCTTTGCCACCATGAGAACAAGATCGAATTCGTGAACGTCACATAACAAGTATTTGCAGTATCGATGTGTGTTACAAAAGAGTGATCTACATATACGTTAAGTAGGGGCTTTCGACCACGAGTGGTACTCCTCCAGCGTCACTTGCGCTCCATCTGCATTCGTGTAGGCGAAAGGTTTAGCATCGAGGATGACGAAGATGACTCTGACCCAGTCAGGACCACGATTCTCCCACTGGTGTGCGGTCCCTCTTTGGACAAAGACAGTTCCCGGTTCAGACAATGTTAGGGGAGGACCATCCTCAAGAACCAGCGTCAGTTCTCCTGATACTGCAGCAAGCCAGAGTCAATTGAGGAAATCTTTTGTGTGATGGTTGAGATCCAACCCGTAGTGGCTGACTTACTCAGAATACCATAGTCAAGAGTACTCGTTCGGTGCTGTTCAGAAACGTTTCGACGAACAATCTTGGGAGTGCAGCGAGACTTCGGCTCTTACCATTGGAACGACGGCACCCGGGGGGACGTCCTGGGCAAGAAAATTTGTCCCATTAGTCTGGAAGATACCAGCACGATCCGGACTTTCATCTCTCAAGTCTTTGCTGAGAATGGGAGGTGATCGAAATTTGTCAACAAATTTCCGAAAACGATCAGCGCATAGATACTCACTTATCTCCTGAATTATCTGTTGGCCATCCTTTAGTGACCCAGAATCTCGTGCCAACGTTGGGGGCACTGGAAACTTCCCCATCGAAAATGGTGGTGCTCTTCCCATCGGGAGTATGGCCAGTGACGATACGACGCGGTGGCTTGAAGGGATTGGGTGGTATTGAAGTCGTTTCAGACATCTAAGGATGAGATATAAGGCTAAGCCCCACAACGGACGGTGAGGGTCGAACCTCTATACCAGTGCGTGCTATCAAAAAGGGTCAGACATAGGTGCCAAGCGGCATATATACTGCCGTGCAGCGTGCAGTAGTAAGGAAGCTGCGTCAGCTAATAATATTGCTGTGTGGGAGATCGAAGACTTGCAATTGGGGACGACACTATTCGTAAAATGAATGTGACGGACGGAGCATCATCATTTAAGTGAAGCCGCCGTCAAGCGCGCGGTGGGTCTCGTGACTGTCTAAAAATGGTAGGGAATCAGGGTCAATAGTATATTACGTCAGAAATTTTAGCGCTCTGTGTGCGGAACCGCTCCGCACTTGTATATAAACTAGTTGAATGCCTTCGGCTGGTCGCGAACTCATGAGTGCGACCGCAAACTCACAATGTGAGCCATTCTGACGCAGGCTGTGCACGAAATGAAGAATAGACACAATCCATTTTGATTCTCATTTTGAACCGTGTTACAGACAGTATGTTATACAGAATGTCAGTCAATTCAAATCATTTCCAATGACCGATGGTTTCAGACAATCTCATTTTCCTCGGTTGTCTTGGGAGGTGTAAGCAGGTGAGGTAGGGAAGGAGAGGGAGAAGGAATTTCATTCAACTGGGAGCAGTGGGTGAATCTCTTCAGTCGACAGTGGATAGGAATACTGTTACGGGCCTCACGGAGCTAAGGTGCAAGAGATGTGGACAAGGTCGGAAGCAAGGGCTCAGATCATGAGGGAACAAGACAAGAGAGACAAGGGCTAGATGCTGAGATCAATTGAGGTGAGTAACCTGTGTTGATCAGCTGAGGGTAACCTTAGCTGATCAACGGTCTATATATACATCGAGAGTTACAGTTTGGATTAGGCTGAATGCAAAGTGTATTGGCTTTGAACAAGTCCGACATGTGAGTCCGTTAAGTCCATCGGTGTTATGCTAACGGTAACAAATACATACTTCCAATTGGTTGTTAACTTGAAAGTGCCTGAGGTGAAGAGTGATGCATTACCTTGCTTGCAAGGTCTCTTGCATGTCCACAATTCGTGGGAATTCTGCAAATATATTGGTGGGAATTCTGCAAATATATTGACCTGTTCTTCGTCATCACATGTTCATGTATCCATGTGTCCTTCCTTACTATAATATTAATATTATTTAGAGCGGAGGTGTCCATCATAAAGTAGTACTAGTGTAACGTGCACACTGCACACAACCAACGTGACTTCATTTCCATCATCGATTGTTCCATCATCCACATCCGTTCAAGCGCTCTGCAACTGGAACCTCTCCCACCTGATTCTCGTTGCCTCATTCTCCTTCTCTAATCTTTTATCTTCCGCCTCTAGAATTCTGCCTGGTGTTTGTCTCAGTAACTTCTCGTCAAACTCTCGCAGAAGCCATATTGTATCACACCCTGAGCTCCGCGATAATGCAACATAGGCGTTGAAAGGTGTTAGCCCGCCTGTTGGTGGGGGTGCAAGATCAATCACCACATATCGGATCGTCTGGCCTTGTGCTCGATAGTCTGTGAAGCCATATGCCCCTGTCATAGGTAGCTGCCGTCGCTTCACCGACTTTGTTTTTCCATCCCCCATAGTGATCCGGTAATTCCGCTCCTCTGGAAAAATTGGAACAACACCATTGTCTAAATCCCCTACCCGCTGTTCGCTTGCATGGTCTAGCTTAACCAGCACGCAAATGGGGAGATGGCATAGCTTGATCCTTTCTACGTTGTCCGGTAGCGTTGGCTCGTTCTCGTTCATCATAATCTCAATGATTTCTCCCCTTGAGCCATTTGCGATGTTCTTGTCCGTGTCAACATTTGTAGTGACCATCACTTTGGCTCCCAGTGCAATTTCAACAACGTCCGAAAGCTTTGTCCCATCATTCTTCTTCTCCTGATTCTTGCTGGCTTGAGTTGCATATGCCCACTTCTCTGCAAGTCGTAGTGGCCTTCCTTTAATGGTGTCCTCTGCCATACATGCGAAAAGGGTATTTTCCCCTGTCGACAGTGCTCCTCGAGTGCTGCCTTATTCCATTCCAGACGTACACCATGGTGTGGTGTGACAAGGCTCGCACGACTCCATGGCACATTCCTGAAATCGGTAGATGGACATTCCTTTGATGAAAGCACTAACCCCTTTAACAGGTCGACGTGCTGTTGAGTACACGTTCCATGACGTGCGTGGCGCAGTAAGTCGATCCATTTTTCATCTGTAACTCGCATCTGCTCTTTAAGGATGATGACCACATCGAATTTTTCATATAGGGCTGATCCCAAAGCTTCTTCGCCACTGTCCCCAGCAACTGAGGGCCAATAGAGCGTCGCGCGTGGGCCGCCCACAACAGGGGGAAACTGATGGAAGTCTCCACACATAATCACATTCAAGCCACCAAATGGCGCATCCTGCCGCTCCCCTTTCACTTCCGACATAATGAGACCAAGAATGGTGGATAGTTTTCCAAGGAGACGCCGTGAAATCATTGAGCATTCGTCAATGATGACATATCGTCGAGTTGACCACCACTTCGATTGCTTCCGAATTTGTTCCATGGTTGGCATTTGTTGGTCACTTCGAGGCAGGTTGACCAAGGTGTGTAGTGTCCGACCTCCGATATGACATGCAGCGATGCCGGTATATGCGCCCTTCGCTAGCATATTCGCTTTTCCATGTGAGTTGAAGAAGGAAGTGAGGGTGCTGATCACAACTGATTTTCCTGTGCCACCTTCACCCAGTAACAACATCAATAACTGTTGGCCTCCCCCTCCTTGCATTGTGTTCAGTGCGTGAGTTGATATGATGTCAAATGCACGCTTCTGATCTGTGCGAAGATGTGATATGTCCAGAACGATAGATGGCTGAAATGGATCCAATGTACTCATGGCTACAACTCCGCTGCTGGTGTTGGCCATTTGACTGAGTGTGAGTGGGTTGACTCCGCTGCAGTCTCCTCCAACATTTGGACTGATGTTCTCAGATATCTCAGTATCTGCCCATTTCATCGCATCCTTCCACTTCGCGAGTTTCTGAAGGTCACAACCAGTAATTCATGATGAAACTGTGTCTGCTTGCCATGTACCCATCCCACTGAAAATCTGTGCCAATCTCGCACATTCAACGGCGTGTTCACCATGAAGAACTTCCCATGTCTTGTTCCTATCTTTCAAGAACCTCTCCAAGCTAGCTTCGGACCAATCTACGTTGTCATCATCCAAGCCTCCATCCTCCATGTCCTCCATCTCATCATCAGTACCCTCTGTATGTGCTTGGCCCCTGGGAACGGTACTATCTGAGTTTTGGCGTGTTGCAGCGTCCTTGCAGTCATAATAAAATTGTGCATTCCCAACTATAGCTGCAGTGCGATCGTCCATTCTTTCTGAATTCAGAAAGTTTTCGTATGCTGATGTCCACGTCTCGCCTTCTCCTTTCAGTGTAGATAAATTCCTCCAAGGCTTGAGCAGACATAGCATTGAGGCATGGTGACTGTCGACGAAATCTGAGTTGTCACCACGAGGGAACCATTTCCCGATGATGTTCGCAATGGTTCGGTGACCAGAAGAACGCACAACTCTGAGTTTTGTTTTGTGGCTTTGATGCGATACTAAGTACTGACTCCTGGAGTTTGCTGGACGACCACGCCTTGTCGTGGTTGTGGAGGTATTGTCTGTAGGTTGATTCACCACTTTATCTTGACAGGTATTGCGCTCGTAGCTGTCCGTGGTGAACTCCAATAGTGACATATCTTCTAGTTCATATCCTCGGTGGGAATAATCCTCAAATTGCGACCTCGCGACCAAACTCCTGTTTGGGCTGACATCGATATTCAGAAGCTCGATGCCTGTCTCATCATCCTTGAATTCCAAACAGTCACCTCATGTTGAACACGCTAATTACCTCAATTCCCCTCCCCGGAGGTTCAGCCCTTCTAACATGGGCTTCCATCCCATCGGTGGTGGACCCATCCACTGATGGGCTACCACCATCATTAGCCCTCGACCTTGCAGCTCTGATGGTGTGTATGTGAGATCATATATCCCCAAAAACTTCGGCAACTCATACCTAGATGCTTTTTTTAGTTCTGGGAATTCCCGTTCAAGATGATGAGAAAATGTTGTCCAGTAAAGCGGCACGCAATGATGGGATTTGAATGAGTCACCCCATCCCATCAAATAGCTGATAACTTGAGGAGCAGACTGTTCAGTGTTGCGGTTGAGCGTCATGAAACAACGGAAAACCAGGAGTCGGTTCCTTTCCCGAATATTATCGATATACTTGTTGTCATCAAGATGATATTGGAGTTTCTGAGCCAACAATGCTGACAGATTTGACATTTTTGATTGTGCCTTCGTCGCATATTTGGTAATGTACCAACAGACATTCTTTGTGTCCTCACCGTTTGTCAGCAACTTGATGTCGTGATTACAACGGAGGTACACGAGAAGATTTGGATTGTAGTTGTTGACAAATCCATATGACCGCCGAGGGTACCATTCACCGTTAGCTTCTACCTTATCGGTATCGCATAGTTCAAAAGGTGCACGTCGCTTGCATGTCCACTTCCCCGTTGTCCAATCCTGACGAAGACACTGATACTTTTTGCACGAGTGTATTTGATTGGACCTCATTAGACATCGTTCAAGGGATTCGAATTTCGCATTGAAGTTGGGTTCATCAGGATGTGGTGGCTGACAGAACGCTGCATCTTTTTCTCGCTCCATCGCTTTGATTGCTTGCTCGTCCATGCCAGGTAAGTGAGCGCGTATATTAGCTTCGATGTATTGTCTCACTGTTTCACGGAATTTGGGTGAGAGGAATTTGGATCGCAGTTCACCAGCGCTTGGTGCATCCTCCAGCCACAAGATCATGTGCAGGTGAAGGGTTCCTCGGTTTTGTGCCTCCACCATCCCGATATACGCCTCGATCCAACCCAAAATACCGCAAGTTCTATGGATACTGTTTGCTTTCACATCAATGCCCAACAATGTTTTGAGCATGGTCTTGATCAAGAAGTGAAAGAATTTAGCAGCAGCAAATGGATCTTTCGCTATTGCACGTTCCCGCTCGATTGAGTTGCTAATCGCTGCATCAAGGGCCTGCATATCAATCTCCTCCCCAACGAACAATTGCGCGAGGGGGTCATGGATGTCGCTTGGGTTGATTGTAAGCCAAATACTTGGTGGGCCTTTGGTAAGTGTTGTACTCCATATCTGACTTCGAATTGCAGCCCACAATGAGTCAGTCCCCATGATTTGACTAGATGTGGCTCAGATGTGTTTCATCAATTGGGAAACTTGTCTGTTTGATATCCGTTCTCCTCGAGCTTCCTCCTGGCTTGCTTCTTGTAAGTCTGTGACCATGAGTTGGGAAAGCAAGTTGCCATCTGCTCTGAAATCCCTCTGGCCCATTTGTATGCGTGCTGACGACAGGGCTTGCCTACGCTGCTCGATACCAAATGCGAGGAAGGGGAAAGAATGGTGTGTGCGGAATCGCCGCGAATGGTGGGAAAGGCAATATCGTATGTGCTCATTAAATCTCACATAGACTTGCCATGCTTCTTCAATTCCACCCTCACCATATGGGAATAATGTAGGAAATGCCAGCGCCCAAAAGTTGTGCATAGGCTGTGATGCAACACTATTGCCTTCGGTGCGCTCTTTTCCTGGTCTGTATCCAAAGTCACTAACAGGATGCCAACCATGTCAAACTGCATATCCTGGCTCTTGCCCTAGATTCAAAAGCCCATACATGAGCAGTTCGGAGGCTGAAGTGGTGGAGATGTCGGTTTCCATACTTCCTAGTTGCTGGATTGAGACCACGTCACCATTATCTTCATTCCTTATGAGACATCGGCAAAATTCAAGGTATGTCAATCTAATCTTACCATGTTGAGTCTCATTCACACCCTCGTCCATATCATTCTCATCATCACTGGTATCTACGCTGAAATCAGATTGAAAATTTCGCTTTGCTCACCAAGAAACAACTTACATGGACCAGGAACATATGAATCATGCTCCCTGCCGAGAATATCTGCTGCGGTTTCTTGACGGATGGATGCAATGATCTCCACTGGTACATCATCCTCGGGTAAGCTCCCAAGGATCTGTTCGTCGATAACATAGTCTGAAAACAACTTGTTGTTTTGAACCAACCAGGTGAGTGCCTCCAGAACCACTCGACGTCGAACTCGGAATGTCGACTTGAGCCAATTTGCAGGAAGTTGTCCAACCCCGACATAGGTTATGGCGAGAACCGACGCGAGAATTGATGCTGGCCATGGCATTTTTGCCCCTTTCAGCATCTCAATGACATCGTCAGTGTTCATCGGGAATCTGGTAACGTTCCATCGTAAACCAGACTGCTCATGCGTTGGATCCCCAGTAGAACCAGCCTTAGGATGGAGCTTATAAATGAAGCATCGTGGGTAAACCGGTGCGATCAGGAGTTGTTCTGGCACCGTAAGTCTACTCAAGACTTCAGGAACTGGTCCAATCCACATTTTGTTCGACAGCGTGAAGGGGGGAAGTTTGTTTGACGACAAATGCTGAAGGCACTCGCTGCAGAGGTATGCATGTGTTCCTTCGCTACCAGTATCATCCAAAATTCCTTCGGGGTCCAGTAGCATCCCATCGATAAGTACATGTGCAGGGTGAGGATTCTGTATGGGACGTAGGTGATGCAAATGAGGAATATTGGCTATGCTGATGGTCTTCGATTCTGCTAGCCAATGAAGTCGCATGCATGATGCACACACAACTTCAGCGACAGCATCAGATGAAAGTGCATCCAGGAACTCGATGCGATGGTCACGAATCTCCTTTGCACTAGGAAGTTGCATGAACAAGGGCACTGACACTACTTCGGCTGTGTTGGGAGTCGCGCTGGGTGTCGGATATCGTTCATCACCTAATTTTGTCTTCTTTGTACCACTTCCTCCAACAGATGACTCGGTTCGTTTTCGCTTATTCATGGGTGTCAACATCATGTTGGCTGTATTGTGAGTTGCACTGGGTGTCGGGTATCGTTCGTTGCCTAATTTTGCCTCTGTGCTGCCCCCTCCAACAGCCGTCTCTGTCTGTTTTCGCTTATCCATGTCGTTTCTAGAGAGTTTCCTCTCTCTCAGTAACTCAAGCTCCGTCTTTTTGTCAACTTCGAGGCATCGCAAATAGTCCACTAACTTCAAACGATTCCTGCATGCCGCACTGCTAAGTGTTATGTTCAGCTCACGGCACTTAGTCCTGATCTCTTCCATGTTCAGAGGAGAGAGCCAATCCTTCATGACGAGAAGCTGTTAAGGTGGTGTGGGGATATGTTTTGCTAATGTGTATGTTTTAACGTGCGCAGCCCCAAACAGGTATTCTAGTACCAAATAAGTGTGCTCATGGATAATCTCATAATGTCAAGCGAAACAGGCACAACCAAAGAATTCTCTGTCGAAATGTAAGTTCTTTCCATCAGAACATTGGTTCATTTTTCACACCTATCAAATAAGATCTCGACACTCCGCCCATTGTACACCCACACAGGCCCGACTGACCGACCTGAAAGCTGAAAGTAAGTTTCATTTATTCAAACTCCACTGTGTATTCTTTGATAATCAGTGAAGGTGCACTGAGTAGTGCTTAGAGACCGTCACGTCGCACATCTACGGTGAAATGTAACAGGTCGGATTTGTCTCGAGTTGAAGATAAGTATTTTCCATCAAAACCTCGCACTCCATTCTTCGCTAACAATTGTACAAGATCCCAGGTCACTTTGACCAGTACCTGGACACTATCGCATTTCACCTTGACAGGGATGTGCTCAAGCCCATTTCCGATAACCCACAAAGTGAGATTAATGCATCGAGTTTGCAATCTAATAAACTGATATTTGTCACCCATGTCAGAATGACGAGATCTTGAACATGGCTATGTCTACTACGAGGACTAGAACACGTAAAATGCAGACATTTAATGGACTGAGTTCAGTATTGCCAACATAAGTGCACTACTTCGACATGGTGAAGCGGTGCCGAATTGTGCCCATATTCAAATGCTCTAGGTCCCCGGTCTTGGCCCTGACATAAATATGTTTGGCATCGGATTGGTCTTGAGAGGCTAGGCTGACAGGAGGTGATTACCTGCTTGACTGAGGTGTGCCCGGACATTGCTAATCAGGTTTGAAAAAAAACCACTCTGTCAGGGAAGACTCATGAATTACGCCAGTTTTTAAACGACAGAACAGCCGCTAGGGACTGTGCTGGCCGTTTTATTTCACTGATGGCGCTTACATGTGGTGGTCGATGTGAAACTGTATGATGCCGACTTAGTGAGTGGTTTTCTCTGTCATACACACCATATGTGAGTTGTGATGAAAATGTGTCCAAATTCATAGATTTAAAAGTAGGCAGCATCTCCCCACCGACTTTCCTCCCCACAACACCCTTCCGTGCACTCACACAACCCATGCCCACTCTACCATCCAATGACGAGCTCCGCAGTCATATCGATGGCATCTACTTGGGCGACCCAGATGTGATTTCTCAGCTCAAATGGTCATATTCCAAAGGTGGCCGATGCCATGTGCTCACTCACAAATCGACGCCAGCTGCACACAACCCTCCCCCCACTTTGTTGCACGGTTGTTTCAAAGTTGTCCGAAGCCCTTTTTACTTCTCTCCTGATGGTGGATTCAAAGCTAAAGCTGCGAGTGTGAACTTTGGTGGAAGAACTACAGAGGAAGAAGCCATGGGCAAGGCCAATTCCTGGGCTCGACTGGAACGTGTTGGAGATGAAGATATCCTTGGATATGAAGATTTCCCAGTGTACGTTAAGAATCTGAAGGCACTGGAAGGGCAGGTACGCGAAGGACAAACTTCGGTTTACTCCATTGTCACGGACGAGGGTACCCTTGGCACTGAAATAAAAATCATCCACCGGATGTTTGAGGTAATGTCATTTTCTTATATTTCTGCAGTCTTCAACTTGTTCACTTGAGCATCATAGTCGGCTTTGGCCAGTAAGTAGTCTGAAGTTTCGCTCCTCTGTATTCTTCCATATTTATGACACTAGGCACTTCGCATACGCCAACACCCTCCACTCTCGATGGGGGAAAGGGTATGAACTTTGCAATCCTGGCACATAATGTTTTCATATCCGGATATCTGGTTTATTTGTTACATAGGCAGCGCGTCGACTCCTGGTTCCGAACCATCAGGGAGTAAGCAACCAGTTGTGGCTGAAGATAGTGCCGACATAGTGAAGTCCGGTGCTCCACAACTGGGCCAGAAAAGTATGTACATGAATTGAAAGACTTGATATAATCTGATAAACATTCACAATATTAGGAAAAAGAGCGTGTACACCCCCAGCTCAGACAATTGGATCTACGACAGCTGGGCCACGCATTCTTGTTCCTCGCACTCCTGAGTCAACAGTGAAAAGTAAGTTTACAGTGAAACTATCTAATTCACTTTATATTAACAAAACCCTCCAGCTACCGGTGGGATTGATCAGGAGAGTGACGACGTTGATGTCGGCAAGGATGACCCTGGTGTGTTCCTACAGTTAAGATATAAGTATCAATGGACTGACTAGCTTTCTGTATAGACGATGCATTCCTCGGGGATGAATTTGGCCTGCAACACTGGCCAGTGTCCAAGTCGAATATAGGCATTCGTGATCGCATGGTAGCAAGTGGACACTGGTATACGAATCCCCTCAAAGCCTATCGTGAGGGTATTGAGGGTGTGATCCCCCCCTCTGAATACGAGTCTGTGCTACGGGGGGCAACTGTGCAACTCTCCTTCACTCTAACATGCCACCTGATTGGAGGACATGCCACATTTTCGGTGCAAGTTGGTGAAATTATTGTATTGAAGGAAGCTGAGATCATCACTGCTGGCCGTGCAGAGAACAGGTCACCTTCAAAGCGTGCATTCTCAGGACCATCATTCTCCCTGGCAAAGTGCCAGTGCTGCCACTAGAAAAGAACGTCAACTCTCACCATGCTTTTGACTCTGCGCTACACACTCTTTCTGCTAAATGCGCACCATTTGATATTTATTGCTCCACACACAAAACATAACTCTCATTCTTAAACATTTATTAGAAAAAATTTATCTCAATCCTCATTTTACTCAGTATCGATAGTGTCAATCAAAATAACTTATGTTGTGGAGGCAGTTTACGTTGTCAGGAAGCGGATGCAAAAAAGTCGGGTCTCAAGCAAGGTCAGGGCTGCATAGCAGGCATTTCTAGTATCAAGGCATTTGGTTCAAAAATTTCCAAAGCTACATCCAAATTGCTGGGATGCTATGGGAGTAATAGGGGGATTCACAAAGGCAAATCTGGAGCAAAACTAAGACACAACTTGAATGCAACTCCATCATGTGTGGGTACAGTTTTGCCTCAATAGTTTTCACAGTTTAGGATTAGTTTCGAACTAGTTATGGGGCGTTCACAAAGATGGTCCATATCTTAGACTAATTAATATTTCTTTAACACCATCTGCCCTGAGCATGAATGACTTATGTAAGAACTATACAGCTGATGCCGACTCTCAGCCCCCATGAACAACTGATTTTTGCGACACTGAAGCATGCTGTCAGAGTCCGCATGTCAGTTCACGTGTAAGAATCTCCCCGGGAAACTAGTCGTTGTAAAAGCTGGGGGGCCAACCCAGCTGGCGATAAGGCCTTATATACATGAGTTCCGCAACTCATAAGAGCGCGGCTACATTGGGAACACATGGTAGCTGATAGGAGAATAGATCATGTGGATAAGGGGGCAATAACGGGTGAGGGATGATGCAATAGCGGAAATAGCGCATTGAATACAGCCTGCATTCTAACTACGGCAAATCACATGCAGATATCGGCTTATGGGTACTCAACCTATCCGGATAGGGGTCCGGGCCGGTGTCAGAGATCTGGATTGCTGTCGGAGTCGGAAGTACTGTCAGAGTCTGGAATATTGTCAGAGACGGAATACTGTCAGAGTCGGACAAACTGTCAGAAGGCGGATAGAAGACGGATTGGGTTCTGTCTGAGTTGAGGTCGGAGGTGATGCAGAGGTCTGTTGGAGCGCGCGCACGGATATGTGGGTGGAAATATGCGGTGGGTCCAGAAGCGCTGTTCAAGGTTAGCAGAGTGGGATCGCGGCCTCAGCGACTCAGGTGGAGCGCTGTGCCCTGAGCTTGACATTTGGGGGAGATCCCGTATTTACGGATTGACACTCACAGCGGACTTCAAACAAGACTTGCGGGCGGAGCGGACCTGTAGGAGGAGCGCGGACTCCGCGAGCATGGACTCAGAGGGGGGGAAGCCCCCTTTGCAGAAGGAGAGACTCAGACCAGACAGGGGGTACTCTAGTTGATTTCAGACTGAGGTCCCCAAAAGTATTTACAAGGTATATAAATAGGCAAGAGGGAATATAGAAAGGCCGGTCAGTCCGGCGCGGTCCGGTGCGGAGATAAGCGGGGATTGTCAGACTAAATAAGGACAAGAGCCCGGGAACTGGAAACGAGGAACAGATCAATAAACAATAAGTGGCAAGGGTTATTGATGAATAACTGAATGAGATCAATAACCTAGTGCCAATAAAGAGGGGATCAAACGCCGATATTGGCAGGGAAGCAAACAATAAATGGCACTTGGCAAGGAATGAATGATAAGCTGCCAAGTGACAAATGGCCAGAGGAAAAGCAGAGGTCAGCGCACGGTGCCGATACAAGTCCGCAAATAAGCGGGGTCGGTGCGGTGCTGACACAAGTCCGCGAACAGAGGTTGATCTGCCAGCACTGTCACACAAGGACAGCATGAAGGCCAACAGAGGTACAGAGGGGAGTGGGAGTGTTGACCTGACCTGAGGTGTCAAGGGCAACCAGAAGTGGCCAGAAGGTGCAGATGGGCAGAGGGTGCGGAGTGGGCAGAGGGTGCAGAGTGGGCAGAGGGTGCGGAGTGGGCAGAGGGTGCGGAATGCACGGAAGTGGGGCATGGCTGTGACCACATAGCGGGAAGCGATGAGTGTGGTTCGGATGGAGACAAGGCAGGCATGACTGAATGCTGGGAGCGCCAAGGGCTCAGGAACTGGAGGTAAGGTCGGAATACCGGCAGGGTCTAGGTTCTGATTACTGGCCAAGTCTCACGCAGTAAGGCAGGGGGCCAGACATGGGGTTGGGGGCTGGTTAGGATGGGTTTCAGGTCAGCGGATTCGCCTATCGGCATTGGTTTGCTGCTGACGGAGCCCCGGGATTTGTCGGTTGTGACAGCCGGCCAGATAACTGTCTGTGCCCTGACACATGCTTACAGTCTCCAAAATTCCTACTATCAGCGCCACCATCGCTTAATCCTGTCCCAAACCTCTACTGACATAGATGGCTCAGAGTCTAGCAGTATGGATACTGTTACGGTTAAGCCATAACCCTGGATGGATTTGACGGACATTGTCATATCCATACAACTCCAGACCTCCACTCCTGATTCTGGACCTCCATCTCCTCCTCCAGAACTCCACATTGTTACGGTTTAGCTGTAACCCTGAGCGGGAGTGGACTTGACGGATGTCTCTGTCAGGGCACACACCCTGACTAGCCCGGACCCGGACCCGCATCCGGACCCGCTACATTTCCCGCACGCATTCCCGCGCCGCATGCTCCGTGCGCTTCATGCTCCGTGCGCCGCATGATCCGGCCCCGGATCCTGCCTTCATGTGACTTCTGGATATTCCCGGAAGTTTTGCTGATATTGTGGCCACTGTGGGAAGATGGGAAGTTAGCTTCCTTCTCATCTTCTTACCCACAGTAGGATTGTGCCCTGGATAGGGCTGGTTACACCTCAGGGCTGTGGACCATAGGGGAGGGTTGTTACGGGGATGGGGGAAATTCCCCATTCCTCGATCCATTCTTATAGTGGGATGACGAGGGTCATGTCTAGTCTGTACCATAATGGGATATGTAATCGGTGAGTGATCCCAGTCTTGCCTGGGAGCAGATGATCGAATTCCCATTGATCGCGATTGGTGATGTAGTGAGCTATTAAGGGATTGATGATAGGTAGTCAGAGATACCAGGACAGACGGGTCAGCCATGGGTACTTGGCGCTCCTCAATGGAGCGTACCGTGTGCGAGGTCGCGACTTGTGAGATGGGTGAGAACTTCGTATAGTTGCCATCGGGTACTTGGCGTTCGCAGTGCGAACGTACTGGTAGCGGGTTGATATCATAGGCGTGCAATGAGGACTGACTATTAGGGCCTTCGGTGACTTGGCGTTCCCAAAGGGAACGTACCGTTGGCAGGGAAACATGATGACTGGCGAAGGAAGAAACAGACGGTGGATGGGCGGCTACTTGGCGTTTGCATAGCGAACATGCTGGCATCATGGGTAAGTGGGCCTCAGAGTGTTCACGATCTCCATGATCGTGATGGGATGTCGTGTGTCGAGTACTGGGGGGAGAGCGTAGTGAAGAGGACCCATAGGGTACAGATTCCAAAGGACGAAATTCATGTCAAGAGTCTTCGACTCGCAACCTCGAGTTCTCATGGCGAGGGCTGTTAGAGGACTCGATATAACCAGACATATAAGACATATTGAGAGTTGTACAATCACACGGGTTCAGTTGAGTCACAGGGAGAGTTGTTACAGAAGATGGTACACGAGACAGTTGTAGAGCAGTTGTTAGTTAGCGGGAACCGCCTTCGGCGGTTTCTGTACAAGACGTGTGACTATCTACAAATGGTAAGGTCACGGGAAATCCCACGAAACACAAATAACCTCGGCCAGCACCAAAACCCCAATTGGGGAAAGCTTTGCATGAGGGGGGGGGAAAGGGGTAGAACGGGTAAGGAGGATAGGGTATCGGGATAGAGGACGGAAGGGAGAAAGAGGGGAGGAATGATAGAGAGGAGAAGTCTTTGACCATGCGATGGATATGGTCGTTGGAGACTCCGTATCTGTAACAAGGGTCATGGGGACCCAGGAGTCGTCCCCTGACAGTCATATCCATGCATACTCGATCCCGATCTGACTCCTGGACCCCCATCTTCATCACCTCCAGAGTCCTACCTTATCTCCGTCCGCTCCGATACTCACCTTGGACCGAACATCACTCCTCTTGCCACCCTCCTCTTACTCCTCACAACATCTCCACCCTTCCACCACTCTCCTACCCTCCTTCCGTCCACTCCGATACTCACCTTTGGACCTGACACCTTTCCTCTCCTCCACTCCTCTCCCCACTCCTCTCTTCTCTCTCCTCCCTCTGACCCTCTTCCACCAAACCTCTGGCAAGTTACGACCTTCTGCTGCTGTCCCATACCCTGTACTTGGACATCACTTGTACCTTCGCTCAAAGATCCCGTCATAGTTCCAACCTCAGACTTTGACTCCACCTCGGCTTAAGTCCATTGCATTGGTGACTTCATACTATGTAAACACCATTGCCAACATTCCTCGGACTTTCAACCCCACCTCCACAACCTCCGTAAGCTCCGCAACCTCCGAGCTCCATGGATCATACTTGGCACTTTTGCTGTTTGTAATGTATCTTTTGTGCTTTCCCCTCACCCTTATTTGGACTGCTGCTTCTTCCCATTCTAGCCAGTTAGTCATCATCCCCACTTCACCTCATCTTCCTGCCCCTCTGGGCTTCGCCCCCCTATCTCCTTTCAGATGTACCACAGGTTCTAAACCTATGACCTTCGGTGCCGCTCCGCTTTTGTCTTCCCTTTGTCCTGTTCAGACGCCTTTGTTCCGATTCGGACCCTCTTCGTTTCCTTGTGCTTTTGCCCTCTCCATTATATATCGGCACTTGTACATACTTGTTTTAGGCCCTTAGTCTAAAATCGACCTGAAATGCCCCCTAGAGACTTCCTGCTCAACGGCTCTGAAATTAAGGACCAAATGGACAAACAGCAATGGCACAGCGCTCCGCATGAGTCGCTGAGGCCAAGGTCCCTCCTTGCTAAGTCTCCAGTTCCCCTCCAGAA